ATATATTTCCAGACCATTCTGTGTAGCCATAGCAAAATACTCTATACTGATTGATTCATAAAAGAAATAGTTCATACAGATAGATCATAGTTCTAGAAGCCCAAGAGCATGATGCTAACAATTGTTTGTCTCTTTGTGAACTGCTTCATCAGTTCACGGTGGGGATATGGTCAAAGTACAAGGAGCAGGTTTGCTTTATAACAAGCCCCTCTCCCAGTCACTAATCCAATCCTATAAGATCAAAGCTGCTTCCAGAAGACCTAATCCAGTCTCAAGGGGTCTTGCCTAGTCTCTTGAAAAAGATATTAGCCCACTCTTGATGGCAATATTCCTATGAATTTTCCAATGATCCCATCTCCTATGGCTGCCATACTGAGTGATTAAGCCCCAATTCGAGCTTTGCCAGGTAACAAGCATGTCTAAGTCCTCCCATAGCTTGCCCATCCAAGAATCTCTACTAGCAATGCAGAACTATCTTAGAAGCTAGGGATAACCATGGCCAACCAGCCATCACCTGGTTTGTGGAACGATTTGAAAAGCTTTCTAGCCTTATTTTCTTCATTGACTAGATAGTACATCCGAGGCCAAAAGAGAGGAAGAGGAGAATAATTTGCATATGGTCACACAGTGGGAAAGAGGCATGGCTGAGGACTAGAACTCAGGCTTTTCTCTGTTAGGCAAGAGCGTGTTCAGGCTGGTGGAGGAGATCTTTGATTGACAATACATAGAACAAATGGAGTCAGACTGAAGATGAGCCCTGCCAGGGAAGGGAGAGATGCTTGCTGGTTATCTAAAGATTTGTTAAACCTTTTGTTTGAGAAGAGCTTCAGATTCTGAATCTTCTTGCTGATTCAGTACAGAGAGCTCCTGTGCATTTCACACCCAATTTCCTTTATAATTAACATATTAGCATGATAACGTGTCACAGTTAATGAACCATGCTGGTACATTACTATTAATTAATGCCTATTCCTTGCTCAGGTTTCCTTACTTAAAAAAAAAAAAAAAACCAAACCCAACTCGAATATACTTTTTGTTCCAGAATCTGATGCCACAATTCAGTCATCCTATGTCTTAGGCTTCTTGTAGCTCTGGAAGCTTCTCAGACTTTGTATCTGATGCCTTTGAGAAACACTGGTCAGGTGTTTTGTTTCATATTTCAAAAGCAAACATCCTTTTAAAATCTTCATTTGCTCAGTATATGCTAGGTGATGAGAAAAAAAAAACCCAGAAAATAACATTGAAGTCATGCATGTTCTTCTGTAGTTTAACAATAAGTACTAAAGGGTAATGAATGCCACTGCAGACACACAAAATGCTGTAGAGGCAAACATCTTCTGTTTCTACCATGGAGGAGTCACAAATTAGAGCTAACATACTGGCTGGGTCCAGACACAGTTTCTATGAGGTTTGAGCGTCTGGCATTCTTTCTCTTCCAAGTCACCTTAAGACCCATTTTTTTTTTTTTGCCTGTGTAAGTGGAGCCTGGAGTGTGTGAGACAAAAGAATGTTTGTGTTTGATGGGCACCTCATCCCATGTTGTTATATATGACATCACTCAATCATGTGGCACAACTCTTAATTGTGTGTCTGTCTGAAGTTGCTTTTAGATGTGTTATGGATGGATTTCTTAAACCTGGGTGATAGGCACCACCCAGCCAGCACCCTGTTACTCCTCAGCCCACATTTCCTGGTACTAGAAAGAAATCTCCAGAATAGCCCTGCTTTTATAAACGTTCTTCATTATTGCCCGTGCCATCTACCCCATGGGAAGTTGCTCTAGAGCAGGGTTGTGTTGACAGATTTTTGTATTCCCGGCGTCCAGGATGCAGTAGGCACACACAGGCAATTTGCTTAAACAAGTGGAACACTGGGTGATGAAATTTCAGGAGTGAGA